GTTTGCTCAATATTGCTACGCGCGTTTTTTACTGAGATCTGCGACAGATCTGTTGTGCCCCATCATAAAATGCCAGATCAGTAACAGACATCGGCGATCATGGTTCTCGATTCATTTCTCCACTCAGATGCTCTAAAAAGTCTTAAATTATCCTGATGCCAGGTATGCTTCAGCCTTTTTCTTTTACCCCGAAGTATCAAGCGCAGTTTGCTGACGCAATTTTTTAGGTTGTCGAGACCTTCAGTTTAAAAAAAAATCAAACAAAACAAATATGATGGGGGAGTAAATACTTGCATGAAAAAATACACAAGTATATACAGAGGGGAACACAGCGTGTGCTCATATGGCCTTACACAATTGCGAGCGCCGTAAAACACTTACCGAAACAAAACAAAATACAGGAATACTGCGCAAAGAAGGTCCTCACAAAGCGAGGAATTCAGAGCTTGACCATTAACCCCATAAATGTTGTTGCCTTTAGAACTATTGTGGTTGTCCATCGTTGTTGTTTTTTTACATTAAAGCAGTGGTTTCTCGTTGCTTTCTGTCGATTTGCACAAGCTTCTCTCTGCTAGTCCTTGCTAACAACTGACTACCCACAAAGCAGTGGGGCTTTGGGAGGATTTATGGCGCCTGCTGTCGTCAAGATGGTCCATTCTTTGAGCATTTGAGGGATGCTTATAGATTGAAACTTCTGTGCCACCAGACTTTTCCTCTACTCTCCACGACCACCATCCGTTTGATTCACAACTGCTTAGCAGCAGCTGAACTCTTACAACTATTGCTCTCTCCACCACCCAGGAACAAGCCGACTGGATATGAAGACACACACTACTTTGTACCTTACAGACAGAGAAAGTGACAAAAAAAACTCACATCCGTATACATTTTTGTTGTATATACTTAAGTTTTGGTGTTTTTTGTTTTTTCTACCCTACAGGAGTAGGAGTTTGGTCCGCCGTGGCTCCAAACCGAAAGTAAAACGGACGCACAGACGAGGCAAGCACGACTGTCGTGTCTCTTGACTGGAACAGCGGAAGCGGAAGGTGGCACAACAACAAAGAATGGAGACGTAATCTACAGCGATTTTCTACGTTAACTGTGTACACAGGACCATTTTGTTTTACTCTTGTAAGGTAGAGGAAGAATGCCTGTTAAAGTCATGCCTTCCTGTCTGTGCGTCTATTAGTTTGTTTGTCTGTTTGTCTGGTTAACTCTACGGATTCTACACTTCTTTTTGTTACAATAGTCTTTTCTTTGTGTAAATTTCATATTTCTTATTTTCCTTTTTTGTAGCTTTGCGGCAAAGAGTTTGTGAAAATAAGCCATTCCTTGTTTGTTACATGTATGTATAAATGTGGCTATTTGTAACACTTATGCAGGTGTTGGAATTTTTTTCTAATAATTTTGGACGTGCCGCAGGTGGTGTGTGTGACGGGGAGTGACATAGTTCAACTGGATGTTGTTCACTTTATCACTTTTGCGTGCGGAGTAACTGTAAATGTAAGCCAAAACTTCAACAGTTTCCTTTGTCTAACGTTTGCCTTTGTCTCTGCCCTCGACCTGATATCATCGGGTTGTTGTTGTCTGTTTGTATTTGTTTTCTATATTAATTTGTTTTTGTTGTTGTTGTTGTTGTTTGGTTGTTATTTGTTTGATTTTGTGTTATTGTTGTTGTTGTTTTTGTTTTGTTTGTTTGTTGGTTTGTCTGTTTCTTTTTGTTATTACTATTAATTAATGATTTCCATTTCCGAAGGATTTACGACCAAAAATATCTTCTATTTTTGTTTTTATTCTATCTATTGCCTTTTTGTTTTGCCCGCAAATTTCTTGATATAATCATTTTTGGAACTACAATAACCGAAAAGCATTGTGTGGACAGGTTCTTTGATTGTATGTCCGTTGAGACCACAAATATTGTTCTTGCTGGAAGAGAAGTGCAGTGTTTCAAAACGTTACCCGACGTAATAGATTCCGCAGAAAGAACACTAGAGCCAGAATAAATACATTTGATTTAACAATAGCTTCACCCAATCTCCCTTGTCCAATATAATTTTGGTTATACACGCTGAAATAACAATTGGAATGGCTTAGCTATCAAGTTGTTTTGACACACTGTGATGATCAGAGTTTGTGGTACAGCTGTTAGGCACTTCGCCGTCGTATGAAGACGATCCAAGTTTGATTTCCGTACGGAGAGAATAATTTTTAACAAGCACTGCCATCTTCTGCCGGGACATTGCACCTAGGTTGGCCTTGCCTGGCAGAGTCGAAGCCCACCTCCCATCTAGATTTTGTCGATGGGGGCGCCAAAAGAATCCACATCTAAAACACAACATAACTTTGAAATAATTATTGAAGTGGCTAAGCTATCGCTATGCTTTTCATTTTTGGACACTCACAAATGCCAAAACACCACAGGCGTTGCTAGGAAACAAAAAGGTCTTGATCACCAGTGTGTAAAATTGAACCAAATTATGTGGAGGGGAAGAAAGAAAAAGCCCGGGAAAGAAAAAGACAGACGCACTTTTGAGTTTCTACTTTCTTTGTTTGATTATTTATTTGCCTCCGAGAGAGGGAATTTCGACAGGCAATTATGTGTTGTAAAGAGAACGCTGTGCACAGCCTAAGGCAACGGTTACTGTGAGCATTTGGGGCGGGTGAGATTGGGGG